TCTTCGTTGGATATGCATATGAGCGTCGCGTTTGTTCCTCGCTTTGGGCGGAGAAGACGTCTTGCAGCTCGGAGCGCGCGCCCCCTCTCGCCGCGCGGGTGGGGGGGGGGGGGCGGGCCGCTCTGATGAAGTCGCGCCGAAACGCATGCTAGAACCCGACGCCTTCGCGCGACCTCGCAAACGACGAACGCCCCCGGGAGCGCGCCGAACGGGCAAACAGGGCGCGCGCTCAGTCAGAACGGCTAACCGCTTAGAGACGCAGGTGCGAGGGTCGGCTTGCAGCGAATCTGTATATATATATATATATATATATATATATATATATATAGATATATACGCGCATGGCGAAACCGCCCCGACCCGCGCGTTCCCGCCAGTTCGTCTCACCGTTCTCAAACTTGCGGGGGCCCAGTGAAGACGGCAGCGGCGCAGATCATCTGGCCATTTTCGAGAAAAGCGAATCGCGAATCATCGGCGCGGCGCATGCCAACGCCGTCGGGCAATCCAAGCGGCCATTTCGGGCGTAGGTGGTTTAGACGGCAAGCGCTTCGAACCCCGCCCTCTGCGCCCCCCCCCCCCCCCCCCCCCCCCCCCGCCCAGGGACCCGGGCGCGGCGCGCCGCGACCGACGGGGCCGCCCGCGGCCCAGGCGGGCCCGCAATGAATTGCGCTGAGGCATCGGGCCTCTCATGGGGGGGAAAGAGGGGATGGGGGGCGCGTGCCCCCCCCCCCCGCCCCCTCACTTTGATCGGCGCCCTCCAAGACGGCCCCGAGGCGGCCCCCGGGGCAGCTCGCGAGCACCCCGACGACGCGTCGCCCAGGGTGCCCGATGGGGCCGCAAAAGGGTGCCCCGACGCGCGCCCGGGGCCCTGGAGACCGCCCCCCAGGGCGCCCGAGACGACCGGCGAGAGCCCCGAGAAGCACTAAAGAGACATCCGATCTAAGAGACCGCGACAAATATCAAACAAAAAACCTTTGGCCCGCCCCCCCCGTTCCTTTCCTTTGTCCTCCGCGTTCGCTCGCCCCTCGCCCGCCCCCCCCTGCCCCGCTCGCCCCCCCGTCGCCGCCTGCGCCCGCCCCCCCTCCTCGTCCTTCTCCAGCCCCCCCCCCATCCGCCTCCTGGGGCGCCGCGCCCCCCCCGGCCCGCGCCCCGCTGCGCGGCCGTGGGTGGGCAGGCGGGGCCGCGCGAAACGCCCGTGACTGGGTTGTCTGATCCATGCGCGAGCACGCCGAGGAAATGGCGCGCGCGAGGGGGCCCCGACCTAGTCGCGGCGCATCCGGAAGCAGTCCGCGCCTGTCAAAATGATCGACGCCCGCGCGGCGAGGAGGAAGGATTAGTCGCGAAGCATCAAAGACCAGCCAGCCCGAGCAAACGACAGGTCATCAACAAACGACACTATCAAGCACAGCCGGGGCCACCCGCCAACCGCGCCGCCAATGGCGCGCGCGGCACATGGCGAATGTCAAGCGAGTCATCTCGCGGCGCGCAGCGGGGCCAACTTCCATGGAAGTCGACGACGCAACCATGTCTTCCGCCTGTTCGCCGTTTGGCGCGCCCCCCGTCGCGAACTCATCAAGCGCGGCGGCCGCGCGCCACGCGGACTCTGAACTGCGCGGGGCGGGGGGGGGGGCCTGGCCGAGCCCCCGGAGCTCGCCCGACGCGTGGGCCATCTCCTGCGACGGAGGCGACGGTTCAGAATCCTCCCTCTTGCATCAAGCTGACGAGCAAAACGGTTCCTCATGTCGTTTGCCTCTGTCAGCGTGAACGGCCCAACGACCGGGCATTCCAATTCTCGCCGTATCTGGGGCAAACCGCCGCGTGAGATTGACCCTGCGTGCAACGGCGACTGCGCCCGCGAACGCTTAGACATGGGCCGAACGCGGCTGCGTCACGAAGCGGTAACCCGATTCCATGGCACATAAGATCGCAAACAACCTCATGTTTGTCTGAACCGTCCCGGGCGACGCGGGACCCCCCGCGGGGCACCTGGGTTTCGGGGGGCCCGCCTCGACAATTAAGTTGTGACATGTCGGTCGCAGCGGGCTTTCTCGGGCCTTGCTGGCTTTCTCGGGCCTTGCGGGTGGCCTCCTCGAGGCTTCTGGGGGCCCTTTCTTTGCGTTGTCGGACGCAGGATGCCGGGGCGCATTAGGGCCGGGCGGGGGGCCTGTAGTCGAAGTGGAATGGCGCGACAGCGCGGCGGGGGCGGGGCGGGGGAGCGCGGCGGGCGCGGGCAGCGAGGGGGGCCGAGAAGGACCGCGCCGAGTGCGCCACGAAAAACGCCGAATAAGGGGCGACGGGCGCTGTCCACGGCGGGCCTCGGACGAAAATGACGCGCCGCCCCGCCTCGAATCTGCGGAACTGCCCGATGACTCAAAGCCAAATCCCCCGAGCCCGACGCGGCCCCTCTTTCGTTGCACTGGCTGACGGCATGCGGGAGCGCGTCCCTCGGCGAGGCTCCGCGAACGGCCGGGGCGCCCCGCTGCCTGGGCCGCTCGCGCACGCGTGCCTAGCGCCGCGAGGGCGGCGAGACCCTGACCCTCTCGAGCAAGCCCAGCCACGATCGCCCCGGCCAGCCGCGGCGAGGCCCCGGCGCCGCCCTGGGCCAAGTCAGCGCCAGGACACTGCCATCCTGTAGCCCCTCAGCCTGGCGAGTGAGCAACGCGGCGGCCTCTGCCTTTCGTTTGATCTCCGCCAAGAGCGCCGTGATCTCCACGTTCGCGCCAACTTGCCGAATGAGGTGATTGCGATCGCCGCTCTTGATTGGCAAATGTCGCGGGCGATCTCGTCGATCTCTCGCCGTCGTCTTCGACGGTCGCGCGGGCGCCCGACGGCGAACGCTGCATCGCGCGCGAACCCCTGCAGAAGGAGTTCGCTTAACCCTGGCCTGTTCCTTCATCGCGTCCGCGTCCGCCATGTCCCCCCGGCCGAAGTGTTCCTTCTCGGCCCCCTCCAGCGTGGCGTGCTTCTCGAGCTCCTTCTCCAAGGGGGTCTTCTTCGTTTGCTTGCTATTTCGTTGTTGTTCTGATCGTTGCGATTCGTGCCCTTCTTCTTCGGGCGGATGCTGCTCGATGGAGAACTTGATGTTCTCCGCTCCTCTTCGGCGGGCGCGTCCTCAACCTCCTGCCTTTTGCCGCCCTTCTCCTCGAAGCCCCCGCGAAGCCTGCCCCTCTTGCCGCCAGGTGCCAGCCGAACAGAACAGATGGGGGCGCAATGCGCCGTGCCGAGAACGCGATGGTCCTGGACATCCCAGGGGCGGGAAATGAACTGGGCCCGCTCCGATTCGATTCCGCGAGATGCACGTCACCAGCGGCAAAGGTTCCCCCCTTGTGCGTGCCGCGCGGGGTGCTCCTCGGAGCCCTCCACGAACTCGTGGGAGGTAGCGACGACGATTTTCGCGAACGTGATGTTCCCGACCTTGACGTGGAACGCCTGCGTAATCTCGTCGTCGGCACCGCTGAACTCGGCCGTTGGCCGAGAGCCCAGCTCGGCGCTCAGCTGCGTGATCTTCCCTGCGCAACGCGAGCATCTGAGCGCGTTGGATTCCCTTTGTTGCGGATCGCGATCGTGCCCATGATCGCCACCCCGTTGCCGCGGCCCCCACATTGCATGCGGATGTCGTCGTCGAGGAAGGTGGGTCGATTCATCGCCGCTGGTACCTGCGAAGGCTTCGGCCGCACTGGGAAGGAACCGCAGTCCCAGGCGCGACCGAGGCTCGAGGTGGTTGACGGGGCCGGCTGCGACAGCGGGTCTTCGGGCGCAGGCGCCACCAACTTTGGCAAAGTACTCGGGGCGACAGCGGGCCCTGGCGAGGCCGCCGCCTGCGCAGAGAGGGGCTCGGCGGGGGGGCGCCCGCGGGAGAGCCGCCGTTCGCTGGTGGACCACCGAAAACGCTTGAACCCACCGCGGCCTTGCTGCTCTTGGGCGGCGACGGCCTGCTGCTCTTCGCGGCCAAGGGCCCCGACCGCTGGACCCGAAGGCCCCGACCTCGGCGCCCGCGGCGGCCCTGGCGGAGGCGGACATGGCAGTGGCGCCACGGGGCCGACTGCTGAATCCTCCGCCGCCTCTGGCGGGGTCGGGGCGACGCGCTCGGTGCCGCTGCGGTGGCTTGCACGCGCCCGCTCCGCCACCGACCGCCCCCGCATGCAAAACAACATTTGCTTAAAGACGCCGTTGGGAAACCGATCCACGACCGCCACGACACCGCAACGAACCACTCAACGGAACCATGCACTGCTCGACCCCCCAATCACTGCCAACACCTGTATGTTCAAACTTGACTGCGTGAGGAACGCGGCCGCAGAAATCGTGGAACTCGTATGATATATATATATATATGTGTATATATATACACACACACACACACGCTACGCGACACCTGCACACCTTATCGAGTGGACCGCGTGGGTGGCCTAAGTTTATCTGGCAACTGAACAGGGTGCGTGTGCGCGTCGCATATGATCCAACTCGCTCAGGAGGGATTCGAAACGACAGGCTGATCCTTGCTGGGTTTGACTCCCTGCTGGACTTCGGGCCGCAACTCGGGCCTCGGGCGGCCGTCCGGGACGATCCCGGCACCCCCAGAAGGGCCATGGCGAGGCGCAGCCGATGGGAACAATCCGTGGCTCAGACAACCTCACCCTTTCCTCCTCCTCCTCCTCCTCCTCCTCCTCCTCCTCCTCCTCCTCCTCCTCGTCCTCCTCCTCGTCTCCTCCTCCTCCTCGTCCTCCCTCCTCCTCCTCCTCCTCCTCCTCCTCCTCCTCCTCCCTCCTCCTCCTCCTCCTTTTCCTCTTCCAACTCCTCCTCCTCCTCCTCGTCCTCCTCCTCGTCCTCCTCCTCGTCCTCCTCCTCCTCCTCCTCCTCCTCCTCCTCCTCCTCATCCTCCTCCTCCTCGGTTTTCCTCCTCCTCCTTTCTCGGGATTTTCGTGCGTCTTTTCCCCTATCCTCCTCGGTTTCCGCGATACCTCACTAGCCTCCCGCCTTTCCCGCGGGGAGCGCGCGGCCTCGCGATCTCGAGCCCGGCCTCCTCGCCCTCCTGTCGGGGCAGCGCGATCTGCCCCACGTGCACCGCCCCCGGCCAGGCTCACCCCGGGCCCACGCTCGGTGTGCTCATCTCTGCGGCAGCTCGTGGGGGCCTCCCCTACAATTAGGTCGGGCATGTTCCCCTACAGGAGGATGTTCGGCGAACAAAAAATATCAGCGAATGTCACTTTTGTTACCCCAACATTATCACAACATCGTCCCCAGACTATTGTTTGAATTCTTGTTGAAGATTCCTCATGCAGAAGGACGTGCCCGATTTAACCCTACCATGTTGCTGGCTCTTGCGGATCGACGCCATTCGACGCTAAATCGACGCTAGCCGACGCTTGCAGTCGGCGTTATCTCATTCATTACCAACGCTGTTGTACTCTGAGCGCAGAGTCCCACCAACCCTCTGGGCGCGAGTGGTTTGGAGAGTTTCCTCTTCCAATTCCCCCCCTTCCACTTCGGGTCTGGAAGGGGCGTTTCGCGGGCAATTGGAGCGTCCAAAATGGCCTCGGCAAGAAGCCAACAATCACGATTTTACCAAAAAGTTACCAACCATTCGGCGTCCTGATGGGCGGGGGCTACTTTACTACGGCCCCTCGTTTGATCGATCTCCTCCAAGATGGCCCCAAAATGGGCCCCGAGGCTCCCAAGAGTGACCCAACAGGGCCCTAAGAGGCGCCCGGGAGGCCCCAAAATGTCCTCAAGATGCCACCAATATGCCTCCAAAAGGCCCCTAAGAAACCCCCAAGAGACCCCCAAGAGGTCCGAAGAGGCTCCCGCGAGGCACCCAAGACCCTTCAAGAGGCCCCGGGGACCGCCACGAGACCCGGAAGAGGCCCCAACAGGCTTACAAGAAACTCGCCAGAGACATCCGAAGAAACTCCGAGAGGCATCCAAGAGGCCATTGGCCTTCCGGCTCGCCCTCCTCCTCCACTTCCTCCTCCTCCTTCTCTTCCTCATCCGCCTTATCCCTCCCTCCCCCTCCCTCCTCCCCCTCCCCCCCCTCTTGGGGTACGACGGCTTCCCAACCTTTATTCCTCTGCGTGCTCCCCTAGGTGCCTGATCAGGGGAACTCGCCTGGGCATCTTTTCTGGATGGGCTGGTGGGGTCACTTTGTGGTCGCGAGCGCAAGAGGTACAGCCGCGCACCGTCATATCGAAGCAACAATGCAACGGCCTAAATTAAGCACTGGAGCCACAGGAGGGGTCTACGCTGCGGCTCAGGAAACGCGGAGGACCAGGATGAACCGCAGGTCGACGTGCAGCGCCAAAACGGCGAAGAGCAAGACAAAACTTGTGGGGGTACTTTTTTGTTCGGCGGCTCCAAGGAAAAGCCCAGGGAGCGGTCACAACGTCCTGGCCACGGCGCATTGTAAATTGGCGATCCAGCCGTCACTGTCGACAGCGGACCGCTCCTGCAAGCGAGCTCGCAGTTGCACATGCTCAGTACAAAGTGTACTGAATTCGCAGGCGACGCACATAGGCGCAGCAGCGAACCAAGAGACGCAGCTACAACATTGTGTGTTGTAGGGTTACGCGAAATGTGCATAGTTCCGAAGACATAGAAGGCTTCCGTGATTTGCTACGGAACACCCTGGGACCACGATCGGTTTGCACATGCATCCTTTCGGCGGCGAACCTGGGGAGACCGAGGAAGCGGGTCCTCTCAGAAGGCTCGGAAAGCCTCCGGCCTTCTGATAAATGTTCTAGGCCTTCTCCGAAGACAGAGGCAGCTTATCAAAAGGCCGGGGAGCCTCTGAGAGGTCGTCCCGCCTTCTGAGAAGGCCTGTCCCTTTTCCCTTCCTCCCTGTGTGCGTCGCCGATCCTTGGCCAGGCCAGGAAGGCGTCATGCTGCAATTATGCTGGAGGCCGCCAAAACTGGGTCCAAACAGGTGGGGTCGCAGGATGAAGCCGCACCGCCGATGCAATGCCGATGCATCGGCGGTGCATCCGCGACGTCGGCGATGCATCGGCGACGTCGCCGTGGAGAACATCGAGCTCAACAATGCGCCGCATCGCTGATGCATCGGCGATGCGGCGCGATCCACCGATCCCGTCTACTTCGACATAAATGGGAGGTTCCAAATCTCACAATCTTCGGATCTTGGACGCTCCAATCTCCCGAAACATCCTCGGAGAACGACCCGAGTCCCAAAACCGTGCGATCACCCAGAATCCCCCCTGACTCACCCGATGATGTGGTCACCTCACCGCCTTGGGGCTTCCGACGCAGTCATCGTGCTACCACGAGGAACGCCAAGTGAGGAACGGTAGAGGGAAACAATTAGTAAACACCCCCCTGCCTCCCAAGCTCAACGTTGGCACGCGCGGGGGAGACTGCGGTCGAGGTGCAAAATCAGACCCACCGCCAACTTTGAACATTGGGGGGAGGGGGAGGCGTTGACAGATGAATGTGGCATGAGTGTTCGCGAGGCCTGAACAAAGGGGTTTTCGTGGCCACGGCGAGCGTCGGGCACAAATCGGCTCCCCAACCCAGACTGGACCGAAGAAAGAGCTCCATAAGCACAAACTTCTGGCGCCCCGCACGGATTTCTCGGATCCGCGCCGGACCCCCCTCCCTGGCGCGCGGAGCGCGCCAGGGGCGGCGCTGGAGGCGCCGCCAGGGGGGCCCAGGCGCCGATCCAAGAACTCCGCGCGGAGCGCCCAAAAAAGAATGCTTGTGTGGCGCTTGTTTGCCCTTCTTGCCGGGACCGGCCACGCATCGGGCCCACGACCCAGACTTGAGGAACTGGCCGCAAACCCGAGCCACTCTCTGAGCTCGGGTCGGGCGAAAGGGGGGGATAGCAAAGGGGGGGTTTGAGAATCAGCTCACGTAGCTGATTTTCCCGGCGCCTCCCGGCGCCGGAGGCGGCTATGTATCGAGGAATGGGCCCCTCGGTGAGGCCGAAACCAGCTGCATGCAGCAAATCTCGTAACCCCCCCTTTCCCAATCCCCCCCCTTTCGTCCGGCCCGATGGGCCCAGAGCGCTCCTTGTCTGGGCGTCTTGACTGCACGCACCGCTCCGGGAGCCCGGGCCGAGCCTGGCCACGGCCGGTGCGCGCGCGCGGATCTCGCCGCTGGGCCTCCTCGCCAGCCTTCGGCCGGCGCTCGAGGGAGGCGGCGTGCGGGCTCTTCGCGATCAGCTGCTGGAAACTGACCGCGGACACGCGCCGGGACCTGGCGAGGACGCGGGGTCTCCTCGCTCCTCCTTCCTTCCCCTCCTCCCAACACCCTTCTGCCTCCCCCTCCGTCCTCTTTGTGCCCTTCCTCCTCCTCGTCCTCCTCCTCCTCCTCCTCTTCCTTGCCTGCTTGCCTTCTCCCTCCTCCTCCTCCTCCTCGTCCTCCTCTTCCTTGTAACTGTCCTCCTCCGCCTCCTCCTCCTCCCTCCTCCTCCTCCTCCTCCTCCTCCTCCTCCTCCTCCTCCTCCTCCTCCTGCTCCTCCTCCTGCTCCTCCTCCTGCTCCTCTCTCCCCTCTCTCGTCCCTTTCCGCCCCTCCTCCTCCTCCTGCTTCTTTTTCCTCTCTCGTCTCTTTCCACCGCTCCTCCTCTTCATCCTCCTCGTCCTTCTCATGCTTCTCATCCTATTCCTTCCGCCTTCTTCTGCTCTCGTCCTCCTTATCCTGCTTTTCCTCCTCATGCTCCTCCTCTCTCCTCTCCCATCATTACCCTCCTTCTTCTCCTCGTTCTCATCATCACATTATCCTTCTATTCCTCCCATCTTCCTCCTCCTACCTTGTCCTCCTCCCTCCTCTTATTCTCCTCCTCCCTTTGATTATTCTCTCCCTTCTCCCTCTTCCGCCTCATTACTCCTCCCATCTCTATCCTTCTCTTTCTCCATGTCCTTTTCCCGCCTCCTCTTTCTCCTCCTCCTCCTCCTCCTCCTCCTCCTCCTGTGTCCCTTTCTCATCCTCCTCCCTACATCCTCCTCCTCCTCCCTTTCTCCGCCTCCTCATCCTCCTCCTCCCTTCCTCCTCGTGCTCCTCCCACTCTCATCCTCATCCCTTCCTCCTCCTCCTCCTCCTCCTCCTCATCCTCGTGTTCCTCCCACTCTCATCCTCCTCCCTTCCTCCTCCCCCTCCTCCTCCTCCTCCTCCTCCTCCTCCTCCTCCTCCTATCTCCCTCCTTCTCCTCGTACCCTCCGTTCCTGCTCCCTTCTCCTCCTCCCCCCCTCTGCCTCCCCCTCTGGGGCCGTGCTCCTCAGTAGTGGAAAACGCTGCCGCCATGGCAAGCAATCCAAACTGACCGACCAGCTGGCCCTCCTGGGAGCCGGCAAGCCAGCTCAAGCAACCAGCCGGGTGCCAGCCGGGCAGCCAGGCAGCAGGCCAACAAGGGGAGATGCCAGCCTGCCACCCAGCCAGCAACTCATCTCAGCAACCAGACCCAGCCATCCATTCTGTCAACCAACGTCGAGCTCGGGGCCGACTGACGGCTGCTTGGGGTCAGGGCCCCCCTCGGAGTGGCCTGCACGCGCACGCTCGGGGAGACAAGGCTCACAAGAGGAAGCACCACTCCCATACACATAGATAATCACACAAAAGAGGGACAACCGATAGCAACGCCTTCCGTATAAGTCGGACACGTCCTTAGTTCACTGATTTCGAAAGCCATGTAAATTGGAATTCCCACCCCAATCAAAATGATGACAGGCGAGGGCTAAACACGACTAGGGCTGAACTGACGACTGAATCGGACAGATCTGGACGTACAAACCATCTAAGGTGCAGCTTGGAGTTCCCGTGAATTGTCAATGAATGCTTGTGAGCAACACGGAGACAACAGGGATATCAGAGAGGCGGGAGAGCAGTGAGGAAGAGAGCAGAAAGGAGGAAGGAGGGGCACGAAAGGAGACAGGTAAACGAAGAGAGAACAGGGCGGGAAGGAAACGGACGGAGGAGCGTGTTCAGAGGGCGGAGGATGAGGATGAAACCGGGACGGGGAGGATGACGAATGGGAGGTGGGAGCGACCACAGATGAAACACAACGACAAGGGTGAGGCCTGTTCTGGCGGACGTTTTCCGCGATGCGGAACGTCCATATCCAGGACAGATACTTCATGAAATCCTCGGCGAGGGGAATGGCGAGACAAAATGTGGAGGAACAGGGGCTGATCAACACTCTCCGGGGTGCGACTGCGCAAATGCACGACGTGCACTTCGCAGCAACCCCACCGTAAGCCGCACGTGCTTGACGCAACACGGATATCACCCATCCCCCGATTGGACAATCCCACGAGGAAGCGACACCTCCACGCCCCTCCCACGTAACTTACTATATAACTGGATGGGATGCTGTACACTTCTGTCATTGCATTACCGCTATATAAATGCTGCCCGACGCCACGAATATTCGCACGCGGTGCATCTCAACCAATCTTCCGCAACATTCCAGCGCATACGGAAGACAAGTTGGGCCCGCCCCATGACCAGCACCCTCGAAAATACCTGAGATGACTGAAGAACGTCCATACCGCAAGGGCGACTTCGACGTTTGCCCGTTTGCCAACACTGGGAAGGCAATCGAGCTTACGCAAACGATGACAACGTCGCCCTTGACAACTGGAACATACAATCCCGAAGCCTGGACATACGGCACTAAGTGGATGCGAGCCGACGGCCACGACTGTCTCCAAGCGCAGGTTCGAACAACTCGCGTATTCACTGAACCAACATTAGCACGGCCCGGAAAGGTCCGGAAACGATGCGCGGAGTGGCACGCTGCTTATACAATGAGGGATGACAAAAGGAAGAATGATGAGCAAGCAACGGAACACCCAACTGCATATTGGCTCACAACCTCCGTTAGATGCGCCAAGATTGAGCATTCCCAGCAAGCCTGCTGCACTCTCGATATTGATCTCTCTGTAGGTATCCCTGGGAAACGCGCAATCGGTCGAATCCGCCTCGCGATTCATGCCGTATTCCCGCTTCAACAGCACGCCTTCTCGACCTGGCCGCTCGGGCCCGCCGTCCCCGCCCGCCCGTTGGGGTCTACCGTCTACCCGCCCGATGGGCCCGTCCGGTTCCGCCACGTGTTTTCTGCTCCCAACCCCCCTCCTGCCAAACCCGTGCTGCACCCTGCTCCCTCCCCCTTCCGTCTATCCTCTGAGGGGCAACGATAGGGGGGACTGGCATAGGGGGGATGCATCGACTCAGAATCGGCGATACATCGCCGATAGATCGGCGATAGGCCCCCGATGGCAAATCCGAACCTTCCTGGGCAGGTTGGGCTATCGGGCCCCTATCGGCGATCAATGGGCGATTGGAAGTCGATGCATCCCCCCCTATGCCTATCCCCCCCTATCGTTGCCCCTGAGATTATCCTCCCCTGTTTCAGGGGCTGCACCGATTGCACGCGGCGGGTGAGGAATGTATGCACCCAAGGGGTACGATGAAAGACGAAGAGGGCGGGTACTAAGGGTTTGGGGTATACGCGTTGAATGGCACGCGAGCAGGTCAGCGCGAACAACAGTCTTAAGATAAGTGTTGTTGTTGCTGCTGCTGGTGGTGTTGCTGATTTCGGCCCCTGGGGGCCCTCGCCGGGCCTCGGGACCGTCAAAAACAACTCAGGATGACAAACCGGCCCTGGGGAAGTCGTCCAGGCCTCTGGGGGCCACGCATTGCATCCGGATGTCAGTGGAATTCCCAATTAGTTCGTGGATCTTGTATCCTACTCCTCCACTGTTATCCTTCTCCTGTGTCTGTTCCTGTTCCTTCTCTTACTCCCCTGCGAGGTGTGGGAATCACTCCACTTTTGTTATAAAAGGGCCGCTGGAGGGGTGCAAGGGTCCACCAAAGAGTGGCAAAAGATACTATGCATGCGCAAGACTGTTGTCGGGGCGTCATCCTGATGACGGCGAGCCGTTCAATGACACTGAGCATTTCAAGGCACTCCAGCAGCATCAGAGCCAGAAAAAAGGCCTCCAGATACAGATGCTGAATGCTACTGGTTTCGCCGACTGCGAGCAGCGCTCCTTATGTCCTTGAGTGAAGCTCCTCTTACTCATCATCATCGATGTCGATGTCGATGTTGATGTTGATGTCGATGTCGATGGCGATGTCGTCGTTTTGTCGTCTTCGTCGTCGCCGTCGTCGTAGGCGTCGACACCACCACCACCACCATCACCATCGTCGTCATCGTCATCATCATCGTCGTCGCCATCCTCCTCCTCCTCCTCCTCCCCCTCCTCACCATCGCCACCACCATCATCATCACCATCATCATCATCACCCTCAGCATCATCATCTTTATCATCACCACCACCACTATCATCATCATCATCATCATCATCATCATCATCATCGTCATCATCAGCATCATCAGCAGCATCATCAGTATCAGTATCACCGTCATCAGCAGTATCATCATCACCAACATCATCATAACCATGTCCATCAACACCACCACCACCCTCGTTACCATCATCATCATCATCATCATCATCATCATCAGCAGCATCAGCATCATCATGATCATCATGAGCATCATCATCATCATCATCATCATCATCATCATCATCATCATCATCATCATCATCATCATCATCATCCGCATCATCATGATCAGCAACATCAGCAGCAACATCAGCATCATCAGCACAAGCATACGCATCCACATCATCATCAGCACCATCATCATCATCATCATCATCATGATCATGATCATGATCATGATCATGATCATGATCATCATCATCAGCATCAGCATCAGCATCATCATCATCATCATCCCACTGGATCCTCACCCTCTGATCCTCTCCCCCTCCTCCTCGCCTTCCCCTCTCTCCTCCTCCCTCCTGCCTCGAATGCTCCTCCTACTCCCGCTCCTCCTGCGCCTTCCCCCCCTGGCCATCGCTCGGACGTCCATTCCCTGTGCATTTTGGTTGGTCTCGCGCGCGGTTTTCCCGCAGGATGACCCGGGATGCTCCTTAAGAATCCCCGCCGAGAAAAAGTGCACACGTCCGAGCGATACCAAGTCCATGACGTTGCCCCTCTGGTTTTTCGGGTCGTAACTCGGTTCTCCCTCGGCCCTTCGGGACGATCCAGGCACCCGCAGAGAGCTCTCGGCGAGTCGCAGCTGCCGAAAGGCACCCCAACGCTGGAAAGCCGACGAGAACCACGGAACCGTCCGAAAACCTCGGGGACACCGCGCGAAACGGTCCGAAAACCCGAAGGATTGCAAAACAACCCAGGATTGCAAAAAATCCCCGGATTGCAATCCTTGGGTTTTTTTTGCAATCCTTGGGTTTTTTTTGCAATCCTCTGCCCTCCGCGATACCGAGCTTCCCGCGCCTCCCCCCCGCCCCTCCCCCCGAGGAGGGCCGGTGGAGGCCGACGGCGGCTCCGCCGCCCGGCCCGGCACCCGAGGCCCCATTCTCCGAGGCGGACTCCGGCCGCGGCGACGAGACGGCCTCCCGGAGGGCCAACTGTCCAGGGGCCCAGGGACACACAGACGAAGACACACAGGGTAACAGGATTCCCCACATGTTCCCACAGTTCCTGGGTTTTCGTCTTCCCCCTCACTTCCCATACGGCAGGTTCGTGTCGTGCCGACCCCAGCGTTGGTTTTTGACACCGCAGGGATCGTTCAACCTTGAACGATCGGCCGCTGCCGCAACGTCCGATCGTTCAACATCGATCGATTCCGGGTCGCCGGCGGCGTTCAACCTTGAACGCCCGCGCTGGGGTCGCCGCTGGTCGACACGACGCAAACCTACCGTACTCTCCCATGTGTTCCTGGGAGTCGACGAGTGATCGTGGCTGCCTGCATCTCGCCTGGCCATCCTCCGACTGGGCTTCGGGCGGCCTGCGAGTGCGAGGCGCTGCTGATGGGAGCCATCCTGGGCTGCAGAAGCCCCTCCTGGGCCCCGAAGACCTCCTAACACCTCTTCCTTCCTCTCCTCATCGTCCTCCTATTGCTCGATATTCTCGATCCTCCTCCTCCTCCCCCTCGATCCTCCTCCTCCTCCTCCTCCTCCTCCTCCTCCTCCTCCTCCTCCTCCTCCCTCTTCCTCCCCACTCCCCCTCCTCCCGGTACTACGAACGACCGCAAGGGTCGGCTGCGCTTAAGGCAATCCACTTTACTGCCAGCTGGCACTGTCTGCATGCTTTACTTGACCCAGGTGCCCCAACAGAATTCATAAATATCAAAAATTGTGCTGACATGCCCATTGCTCAATCAACGACGGATTCCAAAAACATCGCTCCACTCGCCAGGCTCGCGAGTCGGGAGCACAGCCCCGCGGGTCCTCCACGAGGATCCCCCCGGAGTCGGAGGAGTCCAGCTCCTGGAAAAGGCTGTCGAGCTTCTCCCTTGGCGTGTCGACGTCGGAGCACGTGCAGAAGAGGTCCGCAAAGGTCTGCGCAGGCAGGATCACCCAGTATCGAACCGGAACACCGGCGCTGGTCGGAACGTGCGTCAGATCGGCCTGCATCGGCATGGGGCCAGAATCGGACGGAAGCGCCCGCGCCAATATGCACAATAGCGCCATGGAAGCATCGGACCGCATCGGCTCTTCAGAAAATCAAAATCAAGCCTGGTGCAACCAGCAGAATCCGCCTTCGAATCAGATCGATCAGATCGAGCTTGACCCCAACAGGACGCTGGCAGGGTGGGGACACGCTAGGGCTGTTGTAAGGGAAATCCTTGATGCGCTGAGCGGCAGCTCGAGGTTAATTCGTCGGATTCGCGGATTCACGTCGGATCGCCGCTGCGCGAACGTCATTTGATTCAATGGTGTATATATGTATACATATATACATGCATGCATACATACAAACATATATATATAAAAATGTGCATATATATATAATATATATATATATATTATATATATTTATGTATATATATTATATATATATATATATATTAGGGGGCAGACGTGTGTACTTGTATAATGCAACAATTGCGTGCCGCGCGAGATCCGCTGGATGTTCCTCATGGGATGCGGATACATCAGGAATCTCTGAGAACTGACGGGTCTGGAAGGTACTTCGGGCGCCGCGGCCGTTCCAGAGCGATCCGCAACGCGCTGAGAGCGCTGTGGAACGCTCTCGAGCGACCTACCCTCACCCTCGGCCCTGGGCCTGCTTGTCTGGGGACAAGGCGAGGCTCGGTGGAGAGGGTCAGGGATCCACGCTCGAGGGCCGAGTTTCTGGGCAGAAGGTTTCTGGGGCGTCTGGGGTGTATCGACTCGCCTTCTGAGGCCCCTGGAGCTCTCAAATGACCTCCAGAGGCCTCTGGCGATGCGAGGAGGAGGGAGGGGAGGAGGAGGAGAAGGAGGAGGATGAGGAGGAGGAGGAGGAAGAGGAGGAGGAGGAGGGAGGGGAGGAGGAGGAGGAGGAGGAGGAGGAGGAGGAGGAAGAGGAGGAGGAGGAGGAGGAGGAGCTGATCAGCGACATCAATGATCCTTCTTGAGGCGGCCCTGGTGGCCACGGCCAGGGTCAGCTCCAAGAAACGGGCCTGGAGGGACCCAGTGAGGAGTCCACGGAGAAGTCTTGAGCGGATGTTCAACCGCGAAGGTTGGCCAGGCTCACACGAAAACTCAGTCGTACTCAGACGCACTACCAATACAGACTCACTCGCACTCAACCCCATGCATACGTCGTGTGAGGGTGCTGGTGGTAATGTGATGCCTCCGCCCCCTGCTCCTCCTCCAGCCTCCTCCCTCGCAGAGTCAAATTCACTCACCATTCAGACACAAATCCATCATTGTAAGAGTCACTCGCACTCAGACTCATTCATACCTTCCTTCAATTCGCTCACGCTCGGACTCACAACTAGTAAGACTCACTCGTGCCCAGACTTACTCATACCCCGGGGGGCCGCCCAAAGGGGGGGGGGTCGTCAAGGGGAGTTGACCCGGCCCGTTCGTGTCCATGTCGTTCTGGCATTTCGAATAGAGGGTGCGTCTTGGAGAGAGGAAGCCTCGCTCTTGAGACCCAGATGGTCAAGGCAATGCAGCACGCATCGCATATGGACATCCCAAGACACTGGGTCAAACAAAAGAATTGATCGGGCCTGTTCATGTTCCGAGTGCCGGGACCTCCCAGATAGAGCAAGTTCTCTGCAGCGGGGGAGGCACGCACAGTTTAAGAACCCGATCGGCACCGCGATCTAGCTGGCGTCGCCCTTTTGGACCTCCTGCGAGGGGGGTGACCAGAGGGGCTGCATGGGCCCGTTCGAGCCCAGATTGGTGGGAACTCGCAGGTAGACGTAGACGTCTTCCTTCTCAGAGACCTATTATCTCGGCGGCGAGCTCGGGGGGAAGTGAGAAGAGGCGGGCTTTCTCAGAAGGCTCGGAAGTCCACCAGCCTTCAAGGAACTGCTCTTACCCTTCCCCGAACACGCAGAAAACTTCTGACAAGGCGCGAGGGCTTTAAAAACATCCCGCCACCTTCTGAGAAGGTGGAGGAGGAAGAGGAGGAGGGGGAGGAGGGGGAGGAGCAGGAGGAGGGCAGGAGAGCCCGTAATCGAATCGACAAATTGGATCGGCGATCGAAATGAATCGGGTCGTCGGAAATTGTCGACCGAGTCGGGAGAGGTCGAATCGGCAGAACTCGGCAGGCGAGTAGGCCTCCATTGAGGAATCGGAATCCAAAGCGGAATCCGAAGTCGATCCGAAGCGGGATCGGAGGCCATCGAAATCGGATCGAATCGGAATCGGAGGCGGTCGAAATTGAACCGAATCGAATCGGAGGATTCGAGATGATGAGCCCTGGCGGGGGGGGGGGGCGGGGGCATGCCGCCTCATTCCTCGGAGCCCCACGGCCACCGCGATGCACAGGCAACCCGCAGTGTAAGGATGCGCGGCAAGGGTGCAAGGGCTTTGGAGGGCAATGTTGGCGTTTTTTTTCGAGCGAAGCTGGCCAGCGAGAGTCACCGAGGGCGTGCAGAGAGGGGGAGGAGGAGGAGGAGGAGGAGGAGGAGGAGGAGGAGGAGGAGGAGGAGGAGGAGGAGGAGGGAGGAGGAGGAGGAGGAGGAGAGGAGGAGGGGAGGAGGAGGAGAGGAGGAGGAGGAGGAGGAGGAGGAGGAGGAGGAGGAGGAGGAGGAGGAGGAGGAGGAGAGGAGGAGGAGGAGGAGGAGGAGGGGGATGAGGAGGAGGAGGGGGAGGAGGAGGAGGAGGAGGAGGAGGAGGAGGTGGAGGAGGAGGAGGAGGAGGAGGAGGAGGAGGAGGAGAGGAGGAGGAGGAGGAGGAGGAGGAGGAGGAGAGGAGGAGGGAGGAGAAGGAGGAGGAGGAGAAAGAGAAGGAGAAAGAGGAGGAGGAGGGGAAGGAAGGGGAGGAAGGGGAGGGGCAGGAGAGGGGGCGGGAAAGCCCATAATCGAATGCTGCGGATGCTGCGATTGTCGCATGGGGAGGAGGAGCAGGAGGAAAAAGAGGAGGAGGAGGAGGAGGAGGAGGCGAAGGGGAAGGAGGAGGATGGGGGGGGGGGCAAGCTAGGTGCGCTCGCGCCATATCTGACATCCTACCCCTCCCTCCCATCCCTTACCATAGCGTAGACCCCATCTCTACTCGCACTCTCGGATGTCGAGCAGGGCAATCATCCCGAAAGGGTACGCGATGTGTAGAGCACGGCGTGGCATGGCGAAGAAGAGCACCGCAAAGCGTATTATCAACCTAGCATTGCATTGCATGCATGCCGTGGCATGGCACGGGAAATGGCGCCACCGCTGCAGCGGGAGCACGAGCCGGAACGAGCGGAAGCGCGGAAATGAGGCCAGCGCTGCGGCGGGAACGCGATTCGGAACGAGCGGAAACGCGGAAATGAGGCCAGCGCTGCAGCGGGAACCCGATTCGGAACCAGCGGAGGCCCGAAAATGAGGCCCGCGCCTCAGCGAGAGCAGCATTTTGAAAACAAAAATGCAAGCGAAAACCCAACTCCTGGGAATCCTGCGTGTAAAAAAGCAGGACGGGGGGGGGGGGGGCGAACGCTCCCAGCACGTCATCAGGGGAAGAGGGAGAGTAGTATTCATATTGAGTAATTGTGGAGGAGGAGGAGGCGGAGGAGGAGGAGGAGGAGGAGGAGAAGGAGGAGGAGGAGTAGGAGAGGAGGAGGAGGAGGAGTAGGAGTAGGAGTAGGAGTCAAGCTAGCCAGCTCGAGCGAGTCAAGCATGGCATGCCCAGTCCCACCCGCCCTCCCACAACATAAGAAGCAAAGCTGGCACAACTGGGGGCCGAAGTCACACCGGCCAGCCGGTTTGGTACAGCTGATGCGGCCGCGATGGCGGTTGCCGACGGGAACTGGCGAGCGCGTGTTGAATGCCGCGCACGCATTGCCAGACGAGTCGAGAATGGCCCGGTACACCGCAGGAAGCCTGAAGGCCCCAACTTGTACTGTTTTTTTATAAAGGGGGGGTTTGGATGGGCGGGCGCGGGGTGTGCGCCGCATCCCATTCCTGCCAAGCATTTTGCGACGTGGACGACAGGACGTCCATGCTGAGAGGAAAAACGTTGGTGCGCGGCGCCGAGGCGAGAGCGACATGTCACCCCTTCGCGCGGGGTGTGCGCCGCGTCCCATTCCTGCCACGCATTTTGCGACGTGACGACAGCACGACCATGTTGACAAGAAAAACAAAAACTGTGTATTGTCTTTTGCAGATTAGAATGGGACGGATTGGATGGGCGGGCGCGGGGTGTGCGCCGCGTCCCATTCCTGCTATGCATTTTGCGACGTGGACGACAGGACGTCCATGCGACGGTGCCAATGACGGCGACGACTCTAGAAGGATTTGAGCATGCGCTCGCGGCGACGCGCGCGCATGTCGCCCGCGTGGTATTTTTTGCACAGGATTCGCGGCCTGGGTGCATGACAGAGCATCGCGAGTGCACCGCGCGATGACGTGAAATCGCTGGATTTGACAGAATTCTTAAGATTCCTATGGTTTTCCTATGATTTCAGCAAGAGAGCCCGGGCAGGAAATTTGTAGAATTTTTGTGAAAAAAAAGCATTGGGTTTTTGATGTTTTTATGTTGAAATGCTTGCAAACACACGGTGTTCGGTAGGATTCTGACATGAACGCGCGCGTGTGCTCTTTGTGGTATTTTTTGCAATGGATTATCGCCGTGGACGACAGGACGTCCATGTCGAGAGGAAAAAATAAGAAACATGCTGATTTTGTATTGTTTTTTACAAGTTAGGATGGGACCACCCGGATGCGGCCCCTATCGGCCGGCCTGAGGGGGGAGTAGGAGTATATTCTAATAAGGAATAAGGATAGGAGTAGGAGTAGCAAGAATGCAAGTGCAGCCATGGGAAATTGCTTGTCCTTGTCGTGGAGGGCGCGCCGCTGGATAGTCCCCCCCCCTTCCCCCGATCAGCCGTCGGGGAGAGCCCCCCCCCTCCCCCCTTTCCCGGTCCG